TCCCGAGTTGGATCCCCAGAACAAAAAAAAAAAAAAATTTTTCGAGACAGTGTCTCTCTAAGTCACTAAATTGTCTACACTAGGCTTGAACCTGTGATTCTGCCTCAGCCTCCCAGAGTGCTGGGCTTATAGACATGTGCCTTCACACCCTGCCTGAGACTCCTTCCTAGCTCCCTTCCACTTGCCTGCTGCCAATTTCTGTCACTTATCAAAATTTGGCTTCTGGCCTGACTTGCTGGTGCATACGTGTAATCCCAGGAGTCTCTGGAGGCTGAGACAGGAAGATCAGCAGTTCTAACCCAGTCCGGGTAATGTAGTGACTTAGTGAGACCCTGTCTCAAAACAAAATTAGGGGCCTGGGGATGTATCTTAGTGGTGCTGTGCCTGCCTGGCAAGTACAAGGTCCTGAGTTTGATCGCTCCCCCTCAAAATTAGGCTTTCTACTCTGTCCCGTGTGGCTCCTGTCTTCTGCAGCCTCTTCCCCATGAAGCTGGAGCTACTTTTTCCAGCCTCACCTTTTTGTTTGTTTATTTTTTTTTTGAGATAGGGTATATAGTTCAGTCTGGCATTGAACTTACTTAAACTTGTGGCTGGACTCTTGAGAGCCTTCTCAAGTGCTGAGATTACAGTTTGTATCACCATGTCCAGCCAGCTTCATTTTTTATTTGTTTATTTGTTTTTTTTTGGGGGGGGTTTGAGACTGTTCTGGAACTCACTATGTAGCCCAGGCTAGTCTCAAACTCACATCGATCCTCCTGCCTCAGCCTCCTGATTGCTGGGATCACAGGCATGCACTACCATGCCTGGTTTGTTCATTTATTTTTTGAGACAGGCTCTCGCTATGTATCCCAAGTTGGCCTTTAATTCATGGTGATCCTCCTGCCTCAGCCTCCCCAGTGCTGGGATTACAGGCATTCGCCACCATACCCAGATCCTACTTTCACTTTTGGCTCCAGCACCAACCTGAAAGAGTGAGGCCAACTTCAACCTCCTTTCTGGGATTCAGAGCGTACCCCTTATTTGTCTCCTTGTCCAGGAGCCCCCTTCCTGGGGGATTCTCTTCAAATACTGAAGGAGGCAGATGCAGCTGAGCAGTAAAGTGGATTTGTTTGCACCAAATAGCAGGGCCAGAGAGCAAACAGAAGCTAACGTCCAGGGCTGCGCCAGCCTGGAGGATGGAGCACGCTTTGTTCTCATCTCTCTGCTGGGCTTGGAGCACTTCTGTGTCACTCATAAAAGGCGCTGTACGTGCTGCCATCTGCTCAGGGATGAGACTGAGCCTCTGCCCTCAAGGAGCAACCAGCCCACAAATCACCCACTGCACCTGAGTGAGGCTCACACTGGGCGAGCAAAAGAAGCTCTTGCTTTGTAGAGGAGCTGCTGAGTGAAGTCACCATCACGTTTTTGTAAGCGGGCAAAGCCAAAGGCCACGTCGGAGATGCTGGGGATAACATGAGAGCAGCGGGAAAGCGCCCAGTGAAGACAGCCAGGGCTGCACATGTGTGGAGCGCACCGTGCGTGTCGGGCACCGGGGCAGGGAAGCTTTGCATGGCAAGGAGCCCTGGCTTTGCTGGGAGGCTTGTGGTGTGTGGAGGGCATTGCGGAGTTAAGGAGGGAAGATTAAGGGACTGGTTGTAAACGATGTCTCTGGCCACACTGTGAGGGTTGAGTGGAAGAGGGAGCAGCAGTAGAGAAAGGATGGTCCTGAAGGATGGTGTCACTGGAGTACAGATGCTGCTGGCCGGGAGCTGGGGACAAGGCGGGTGTGGAGAGCAGAGGGTGAATTTAGGATATCCACAGAGATTCTGGACCACTGGAACTGGACAGTGGATTGAATTAGGGGAGGGAGTAAGGTGGAATGAAGGGCTGAAAAAGATGAAATTTGCTTTTTTGTTTGTTGAAACAGGGTCTTGCTGTGTAGCCCAGACTGGCCTTGAACTTATGGCAATCCTCCTGCCTCAGCCTGGCAAGTGCTGGGATTATAGGCTTGTGCCACCACATTCTGCTCAGAATTTGCTTTTCTTGGCCCCTTTTGCCCTGCACCTCACAACACCTCTCCCAGACTCTCCAGTGGGCCCTGTTCCTGGGCGATTCTGTTACACTTTCTTTCCATGGGAGGGAGGAGCGGAGGGAGGAGTGTGGACACTGTTAGGCAAGTCAGGCCTGCAGCTGCAGTGGGTCTTGCTTTCCCTCTGCTTCCAGGCTGGCAAGGACTAGGGTCTTGGGCTTACCTGTGCCACCTTGGACCTTCCCACAGCATTGTACGGCATAGGTTGTTCTTTTCCCCTGACATTTTCTGCCTTGATTCCCTTCTAGGGCCCTGAAGCAGGCATAAGAGGACGCTGATTACCTCACCCCTCTCCCAGTTCTCTCTCCCGGCCCTGGCAGGAGCAGGGCAGGGCACGGTCTCCCAGGCTGCTCTCTTTCAGCCAGATGTGGCATCGAAATCTCAGGTGCCCTATTCTCCCCAACTCTGTACGCATCCTCTTGGTCTCCTCTCCTGGAACTCTGTACCCCTAAAAACTCCCAAACAGCCGGTTCCCTCACCTCCTCTGCCATACTCCCAAGCATCAGCCAACATTGTCTCCTCTCCCTTGGCCCCACATCTAGTGGAACCAAAGTCCAGTTAACTCTTCCTGAACATTTCTTGAATGTGCCCATTTCCTTCTACCCTGATCCGAGTCACCCCTGCCTCTTACCTGTACCTCTTACCTGTATCTTCTTGCCTCTGATCACTCCCTTTCCATGCCTTTCTCCAAGTAGTGACAGCTGAGGGGACGCTTGATGAGACTAAACTGACTACATCCTTCCCCTGCCTGAAGTCCTGCCCTGCCTGGATCCTCAGTGCCTTCAAGACACGCCACAGTCAGAACTCCTTTACATGCTTCCGCAGCCCACCTCTGCCTGCCTGTCAGTTGCATAGCCTTCTACCAATTCAAGACCAAAAAGCCACTCACAGAGAAGCCAGCAAGATATGTGGTGCATCCACTAAGATGTAGCCATTGTCTTCTTCACCCTAGCCGTGAGAGGTGGGATCATGAGTCTTCCTCCCACGAACAGGGACACTGAGGCTCAGAGGCCTTAGAGAAATTGCCAGGGTTGTAGACAGGATTTATTTATTTATTTCCATTTTTTGAGAAAAATTTTTGCTATGTAGTTCAGGATGGCCTTAACTCACGATGTAGCCAGACTGGACTTGAACTCAGGGCAATCCTCCTGCTTCAGCCTTCTGAATGCTGGGATCACCAGCGTGCACTACCACACCCAGCACTGTAGCCAGAATTGAAATCCACATCAGATTCAGAAGCGCTTTGTTCTGCCCTGGCAACCTCCTGTCCATGCCCGGCCATCTGAGTGTCAGCTGCCAGTCCTCACTCCCGCAGTATCTCCATGTGGCAATGACCCTGCTCACAGGAGGGGTCCTGAAGCTTTTCCAGCATCACTCCCTCCAGCTGGAGTTTTCCTCACTTCCAGCCCTCCACCTCAGCTGCCCTGGACCCTCTGTGTCTCATTATTTGCATTTGTGCCTTAAGAATAAAGTTGAGCTGGGTGTGGTGGCACATGCCTGTGATCCCAGCCCTCAGGAGGCTGAGGCAGGAGGAGCTCCTTGAGTTCAAGACCAGCCTATATTACATAGTGAGTTCAAGGCCAGCCTGGAGTACATAGCAAGACCCTGACTAAAAAAAAAAAAAAAAAAAAAAAAAAA